ATTTAGGGAGCATTATAAATAGTTAAGTTTTTAAAGAAAAAAACTACTATTGTTATAAATAACACATTCAACTGAACTAAACTATGCATGCATATTTAAAAATATTTAAACATGGCTTGTGTATATCGTATATATATTATTCATACCTTCGGCGTATAGGACGCAAGCAGATTTTGACATCAAATTTTGGGGTAAAAAAGTGCGTCTTATACCCCGAAAAATACGGTATTGTTTTTCTACCTTTTCCAGTGTAGTTCCTGTATTTACAATTGCTTGCTCGATACTTTGTCTCTACCCCACCCTTGATCTTTTTATGGGCCTTCTTCCGATTGATTTCAAATCCGAAGTTTTATTTGAGTTTCACAGTTTAAATATTTGTTGTATCCGATTGACAGCTCTCCTTGAACGCAAATAGTGAGACATGTTTTTCGTATACAACATTAAAATAGCCTCTGGCAAATTCTTAAAAGTTTTGTTTTACTTTAGAAATTTCTGCGAAATTTGGACATTACTGGAATGTCCAAATAAGTTCTGAATTGCTTCACGGATCGTTTTAAAGTTATATAAATCTTGCATAATAACATATAGAGACACTAAACTTTTATCCATGAACTACATTCTCTGGACGGTGTAAGATATTTTTGGCTATTTACAATACTATTGATATTTGCCTGAGGTAGCAATTATAGGTAATTTTACCCTATTTGGTATTTGATGGCTGATTAATTTGGGACATAAAAAACATTAAACTACTACGATTTTTCATACAACAAAAACATGAATAATTTGATACTGTACTTTATTCTGTACATTGAGAATACAACTTATAGACATTATTAATGTTGTTCACCTTTTATTGAAATAGCTCTGCTGGTAGGGAAAGAATTATAAAAATCTAAAATAGAACAAAATGTAAAAACTTCAGTTACAGCAGTAATTTATTGTACACCTGAGGTGTTCTTTAAAGTTTACGAGTTTTAAAAAAGAGTTGTGCTCTAAGATATTGAAAACTAATTACACGGTGTGTTTAAGCTGAAAAGATTTGTCTGAGAAAAGACAGTAATAGGTGTTTGTGCGCAATGCTACATATGTACCGGTTAGGTCAAATGTAAAAGTGCCCTAGTTTAACAGTATAGATTTACACAACCCTATGAATCAGACATCTATCTGGCCCACTTAGTTTATTTAAGATCGAAACAATAACTTGAGTTAGGCATAGCTTCTTATAAGATGTCATATGGCATAAATTGTTTGATATTATTAAAGCTTTAGTGTATTATTTTAAAACTGTAAGTTATAAATTGTTTGATATTATTAGAGCTTTAGTGTATTATTTTACAACTGTAAGTTATAAATTGTTTGATATTATTAGAGCTTTAGTGTATTATTTTACAACTGTAAGTTATAAATTGTTTGATATTATTAGAGCTTTAGTGTATTATTTTACAACTGTAAGTTATAAATTGTTTGATATTATTAGAGCTTTAGTGTATTATTTTACAACTGTAAGTTATAAATTGTTTGATATTATTAGAGCTTTAGTGTATTATTGTAAAACTGTAAGTTATAAATTGTTTGATATTATTAGAGCTTTAGTGTATTATTTTAAAACTGCAGGTCATAAATTGTTTGATATTATTAGAGCTTTAGTGTATTATTTTACAACTGTAAGTTATAAGTTGTTTGATATTATTAGAGCTTTAGTGTATTATTTTACAACTGTAAGTTACATGTATAGCTATACAGGAAATATACGAAATAATACTCAAAGCTGTTGCAGTTTTTATGTTCAAGTCATCACCAGAACACTGTCAATGCTTCCTCGTTATGAAATATGTTTTTGTATGGTTTCAATAACCATAACTTGTGTTAGGAAAACTTCTGGAAAATTACCTTCTACAGAAACATATAATGTTATTTTCAATATATTACACTAGTTCTGGTTATGATGCTGACTGTCACTTTACAACAGTCTTATTTCTAAGCGATGCAGGTTCAAGTTTAATCAAGTCAAGGCCCACGAGTGACTCAGCAGCAAGCTTATAACGTAAGAATTCGGGGCTCGCTTAAAAACACCATCAGCACCAAAGTTGGAAATTAAGCGCTACGTTCGATATATACTCGTTAACGATGGATGTAAGTGGGAAAGAAGATATTTACTCCAAGAGCCTGTTTAATAATAAAAAAAAGAATAATACTTGTTATTAACTCGAAAGTTTGAGTTTGATTAGCATACATGATTAGTATTAGTGTATTGATTATGCATGTCAAAAAAATCTTACTGTTTTGTTTTATATTATTTAATAATTGTATATCCCTTATTATCTCATAGTGGTTTAAAACATATAACTTAATAAGTTTGTATGTAGCTGTAAATGGTACCAGTCATGCGCTTTGTTCTGGATGGCATACTTCAAAGTTTTTTATAAGTATCGTTAAAATCTGTGGAATGTTTGGCAAGACATTCTAAAACTTGGTAAACAAGGATATACCTTTTGTACACCATGCTGTAATATCTAACTAAGGGCTGACATTATACTTAATGGTAACTACCACTGCTTATTTACCTGATCTGTTAGTTAGCATGCGCGCTCGAATTATGAACCTGAGCGTTGATAACTCGCGGCCAATTGCCGCAAAAGCAAGACCGCACTTTGGAACTGAAGTGAGCCCTAAGAGTTACGGTCAACTCCCACTACTCGGTCAGACAAGAGTAGCCAAAGGGTTGGTGGTAGGTACTGTTGACTACTACCCGCCCTCCCTCTAATCCATCAGTTCAAAATTAGGGTAGGGCATGTGGAGACAGCCTTTGTGTAGCTTTGCGCGGAAATTAAGAAACAAACAAACAAGCAGATACTTTTTTACTCAAATGTTTGTCTCATTTTGATTTATTTTACTTTTAACCTTAATATTTGATTTGTTTGGGTTCAAAAGTTATTATCCAGATTTAAGTACCACTTATTTCTATGATAGTTTTATTACAACAAAACATTTTTGATTTAGAAATAATCAGGTTTTGTATACGTACATTTTGTTTTTCAAAAATGGAACACTACGATATTCTTTTAAGTAAGTGTTTTGTATATATATATGTGTTCACGCAGTTTCAACAACACATAACAAGAATTTTGTTGGAAGTTAAGCACAAAGCTACACAGTGGGCTATTTATGCTCTGCCCACCACAGGTATCGAAACCCGGTTTCTGGCATTATAAGTCCGCGGACATACCGCTGTGCCACTGGGGGGGGGGGCATAACAAGAAACCCCATTTGTAAGTATCTATAATGAGAACAGTGATTTTCAAATTTCCAAATCATGCTGAATTTGTGCTTTTGTTAAGACGACTCTCAGCTCATACACCAGATGCTACTAAGGGCTATTTTTATTTTACGTTAGAATAGACGAATGATTCATCACCAGCCATTGAGAAACTTCTCTCTCTCTTGCCAGACTGACGTTAAGTTTCTTAAATTCCTGGTTACTAAGTAGTTAGTTATTTGTACAAGACCACTTACGTGTCATTCGAACCCATATCAAAATATGATATGACAGAAACACCAGTCAGTTGTTCGTTTTATGTTCTATTGTTTTTATGTTCTTTTTTTATCTTGTTTAACATAAATAACGAGTATGGACGTGGAAATAAACTTTTATGAAAACAAGGAAACACTTTTATGTATAAAACATATGTTTAACTTTAGAAATGCCATAGCTGATCTGATTCAAAACTTAATACACGCCCAAAATCAAGAAGTATATATGCATTAAACATGTGCGCATGAGCAGAAAACGTTATGGGTTTTCACTGTCGTTTCCAAACAAACGAGCCAATGAGAAAAATGGAAATTAATACTAATAACTGCATCGTTTTTCTGTTTCATTTTCTTCTAGCTACATAATTTATTTTTTACTGTTACATTTTCTTCTAGCCACATCATTTAATTTTTACTGTTACATTTTCTTCTGGCTGCATAATTTAGTTTTTACTGTTTCATTTTCTTCTGGCTACTTAATTAAATTTTTACTGTTTTACTTTCTTCTGGCTACATAATTTAATTTTTACTGTTTCATTTTCTCCTGGCTACATAATATAATTTTTACTGTTACGTTTTTATTCAGCAAAGATTGTTTATTTTCTTTTTTTTTAATTATCCCTCAATAACAGCATTTAAGAACGCGCTGGCGGTTTGTTGTTGTTTCTTGTTACTACTGGCAACATGCATTAATTAGTGTTGAAGTTTCGGTTCTAATGTGTATAATTTTCTCACATGAATGAATAAATAAGTGTATTTTGCATGTGAAGTTTTACTATAATTTATTCTACTCTTAATTAGGAACTTGTAAAATGTGTATTGTTGTCCAATGTGTTAAATGTGGACAAGGGTAAGTCGGTCTAGTTTGTTATTGGACTATTCTGTGTTACAAAAGATGGCTAAAGAAAATTTTGAAAGATTGTATCTCATTATCAATACACAGTTTCAAATACCACGTATTTTAGCTTGTATTTTATGTCTATATTTTGTAATGTGTTCCCCCGTGGCTCAGCCGTAAATTTCTAGACTTACGTTGCTAAAATCCGGGTTGTCTCCCTACAAACAAACAAGCTCTGTAATGTAGCATAATTTTCCTTATTACGTTATGATGAAAACGTTCCGTGTTTTGATAACTGGTTATTTGTATATAGCGCAATCTTTGTATTTTAAATGAACAGATTTATTAAGTGAACCACTCAGGAGAATTGTAGAATTTCTAAACGGGATTTCAAAGGTAGGTATTTGTAGATGCCTTTTATTTAAAATCTGTAGCCGCCTCTCTGGGGGAGATGGATCAGAAATTCATAATGAAATTGGTTATGTACTTAAAGAATCGTTGTCAAACATAACACGGTAAAATTCATAAAGAAAACATTTTATGTTCGTGGTATTGTGATATATTTGTTGAGAGAAAAGGCTTAGATCTGTAGCAATTCGATGAAAATCTTAACAAAATACATTATTTCTAACGGCGGTTTTAATTTCTTGTCCAAAATTTGCTGTAGCCTCAACAACAAGGGCAAATTTCACTATCTGTCCACATAGGGGATCGAATACCACACCTTCCTCTCCAGGCTAGCACATCAAGCGGTCATATGACACCACAATTGCCACCAACAATCACAAGTCCTTTGGTAGCAAGCCTTGGAATTCCAACTCACCAGGCGGCGTCAGTGGTGCCGTCTAGCACTCAAATACCAAACTTGTATAACAGGTAAACAAATCTTTTTAAGTACATCCTAGCATTGTAACTTTGACACATTGCATAATTAGCATTATATCCTGTGGATTCACTGAAGTTTAACTTATTATGACGTTATTTCATGGCCATGTATTCACTTTGTATCTTTTGTAAGTGGTGAGACATTAATAAAGCTTATACATTTACGTACGGAAGGTTACGGAACAAACAAGTTTCTAGTTTTAAAAAGGCAATGTAAAAAAAAAAAAGTAACATGAATCAATGTAAAATATTATGTTAGGCTAACACATGTGATTGAAATGTCTCCACATTTGCCTGTGTTGGAATTTCCACCGAAAGACCCTGTAATTATAAAATATGACTTCAATAGTAATTAGACTTAATTAAGTTGATTAATTGTAGTAAGTGGACTTAACAAAATATACTATCCAGTGTAAGAATAGCTGCTGCTCGATCATTGTTAAAATGCCTCAGTAGCGTGAAATAACATAACCTTGTAACATCATTATTAAGTCAGTGTAAGAACAGCTACTACTCGATCATTATTGCCATATTTCATTGTTAAAATGCCTCAATAGTATCAAATAACATATCCACGTAACGTAATACTTAAGTTAGTGTAAGAACTGCTGCTGCTTTATCATTGTTGCCAAAATGTTAGTGACAATGCATCATTAGCATCAAATAACATATCCACGTAACTTAATCCTTAAGTCAGTGTAAGAACTGCTGCTGCTTTGATCATTGTTGCCAAAATGTTACAATGCATCATTAGCATCAAATAACATATCCACGTAACGTAATCCGTAAGTCAGTGTAAGAACTGCTGCTGCTTGATCATTGTTGCCAAAATGTTAGTAACAATGCATCATTAGCATCAAATAACATATCCACGTAACGTAATCCTTAAGTCAGTGTGAGAACTGCTGCTGCTTTATCATTGTTGCCAAAATGTTACAATGCATCATTAGCATCAAATAACATATCCACGTAACGTAATCCTTAAGTCAGTGTGAGAACTGCTGCTCCTTGATCATTGTTGCCAAAATGTTACAATGCATCATTAGCGTGAAATAACCATACAAATGCATATTTTTCAGTGTTCTTTTTTCACTGGTCATTAACGAAATAGCTGATTTAAAATGTGCGAAATGCTTAGAGTAAGTGACAAAAGGCTGAAAGTACTTAGCAATTAAAGTATTAAGTTATCGATAATGATAATTTATCGTTTCATTAATGAAGGAATTTTACTTTAACCTATTTCCGGCCAGCTCAAAATATTGTATATAACACAATGGTACATATTATGAAGTTGTTCGAAAAGAGTTTCAGAACGTTCGTTTCTAACTCTGAATTTGTCTATTGCAGTGAAGAAATATTGTGTGAAAGTATGAGTAATTCTGATGAGAGCAGCTCAAGAAAAAAAAGGAAATTTTCAGAATCATCTAAACCCTCTCTCAACAGCAATCTGAGTAATGGAATGACGTCTATCAAAAAAGAACCTAGTAAGTTTCAGCACATCAGTAGCCATAATGTCTAACTTTCTTTTCCTGTAATTGTGCTACCACATAATAATTTAATATGTGATTTTTAAATTTGTTTAGAAGAGTATATGCGGCTATACTTCAGAAAAAAACAAAAACTTTTATTTTAGTTTAGATCAGTTTTCTCAATGTTTCTCCATTTCTGTACGTATTTTTCAAGTAACATTTGTGTTCTTATGTAGGCTTAATTAAGAAACCGGTTGTAAGTTCAGCTTTACTTTAAATACAATAATTTTGTGTCCTGATGAAGTCGTAATGGCGAAACTTCGAGAAAACTAACATGTTTGTTTGTAGTTTTAAAGCACAAAGCAACACAATAAGCTATCTGTGCTGTGCCAACCACAGATATCCAAGTCCGGTTTTTAGCGTTATAAGCCTTCAGATTTACAGATTTCTGAAGTATGGTCGTGTTTAATAATTTAAGAATGTTAAAAACTCTTCAGTGTGCTTTACAAACACTAATTTCAAATGTTACTTTTAGATCAATTAAAAACAAAACTTTTAGAGGGTCAGTATAACTTCAAAGTAATTAAAGAAGACATGTGCACTAAAAGCTAATTAGTTGGGCACAACAAGTTTTTGTATCATGTCTCGAGGAGATTTTATAGTAAGCCTTGCAACAATGTCAGCTATGCTAGAATTCATGACGATGAGGCTTCACACCTGTGTTTCTTTCCTGAAAACATATGTATAATTTTCTGATAAAGGAGATTAGTTACAGTAAATGGTCTAAAGTTGACCTCGTTATCCATTGCGGAAGCTTATTACAGGTGTGAGGCAACTATCTATAACCATGACTAACAGTTTTGACACGATCCGAAATGGCAGAAGTAGTTACAAAAGCAGCACGGACATTCAATATCGTTTTTATAAAATGTAATTAGTCACCAATACAAGAATAATTTAATGTAAATAGGACTAAATAAAGACTAAATAAAGTGTAATCAGTCACAAATACAATGATAGTTCAATGTGAATAAGACAGGTATAAAGTGTAATTATTCACAAATACAAGAATAGTTTAATGTAAATAAGACAGGTATAAAGTGTAATTAGTCACCAATACAAGAATAATTTAATGTAAATAAGACAGGTATAAAGTGTAATTAAAGTGATTTTTGCACAAAGATGAACTTTTGGAGAGAGACTGTTGGAATAATTTTATATCACTGGCTTTACTTTGTCATGGCTAAAAACGTCATAAAATCTAATTAACCTGTCATTGTTTTGTACAGTGTACATAAAGAAATATTAATATGAAGGAAAACAGGTGTATGTATAACACTGAACTTTGGTGAATCGACACTTTAACATTGTGTGTTATTAGCTTCTTTCATCTTTTAGTCAAAGTTCAACAGTTTTAATTTACATAGTTCTCATTACAACTAACATCGTCTAATAAACTTCTTTACAATTTGAGAAGCACGGATATTTTTCTGCACAGAAATGTCTCAACCGTAAGCCTTTCTAGAACTTTTATAAAATGTACGTGCTACAACACCACATCTATTATTACATACAGATACCTGTAGAATCACGAGTATGTTTTAGGTTGGGAGGGAGGCAAAAAAAGTCAATTTAGAATAGTTGTTAATATGTAGACTAACTGGAAAAAGTGCCCCTTCTGTCTTATGTGTTAGTCGTTGATATGTATCTTTATCAAGATTCTGATATTTGATTCTACAACAGATAAGATAAATAAGCTTATGTGATTTTGTTATTAGGTGGCTTGTCTCCTGACCCTGGGGCACTTAATGTTCTTCCTCAGCCTGAAGATGAGTATTCAGTTGATTTTAGTAATTCTGAAACAACTGGAATGTTGATAGACTCAGCCTACCAGTGTATACGATTTCAGCCATTTCAACAGAATTCGTGGAGTGTGGTTTGTGATGCGTCCTTGAAAGAACTGTAAGTTAGTTAGCATGCAAGATGTGTTAGAAATTCGTTAAATGTTTTATCTATATTAACAAACCATTTCAGCTCACATAATATTACCTGTGCTACGATGTCATATATCAAAGTCTCTTTTAATTGTAGAAAGAAATTTAATGAAGAGTTAAAACCCGTTTGGTCAACAATGAGTCAACCTGCCGAACATTCAACCCACGAACTTAATTAAAAATGGGGTTAACGAAACCATAAAAGTAAAAAGTCATCGCACACCTGGTAAACTGTTTCAGAAATCTCTACCTTTTGATAACACTTCGTATTAAAATTTTACACTTAACCATCTCAGTGTGTGTGTGTGCGATGTATGCATTTGAGTTTGTTTTTTATTTCGGATTACTTGTGGTTGTGATTTTTATATTATCTCTCTGTACAGTTTCCATTCTTAGGTGGCCCGGCATGGCCAGGTGGTTAGGGCGTTCGACTAGCAATCTGCGGGTCGCGGGTTCGAATCCCCGTCACACCAAACATGCTCGCCCTTTTAGCCGTGGGGGCGATATAATGTGACGGTCAAATCCCACTATTCGTTGGTAAAAGAGTAGCCCTAAGAGTTGGCGGTGGGTGGTGATGACTAGCTGCCTTCCCTCTAGTCTTACACTGCTAAATTAGGGACGGCTAGCGCAGATAGCCCTCGTGTAGCTTTGCGCGAAATTCAAAACAAACAAACCATTCTTAGGCATTAAATGTTACTTACGTTCATGGCTTCATCAATCATTTTCATCTGTCGTAACATGTCATGTACTTGATGAACATTTTGTATTTTACTCTTCTTATTTTACTTTTTAATAATATTTCTTTTTTTAGCCATGTTTGTGCCTCTTCATATCTTTACAAACACGATCGATGCTGTGTTTTACTGATGTCTTGATTTGCCTGAAAAGCTAGTTATAACATAATAAACTAAGGTCTCTTGATGCTTTATGCCAGCGTTTCCCAAACTTTTGTCATCCAAATCTTACTTTAATATATATGATTTCTTGCGCACTCCCCCTCTTTTTATTTAAATGAGTAAAAGGGGGAGTTAAGTGACGAGGTATAATACGTGGATACGCATTAAAATGCTATATGCGTTATTGAATTACTTATTATTTTCATTAATAAAAATTTATTAAAACGCATAATTTTGCATTATTCCACTATTCACAACCCGAGGTCCACAAAGGTAATACCATCTCATTAAACAAGTAAGTTTTTAATACTGCTGTTATTTTAATTGCATAGTCAGTTATATATGTTTTTTTATTTGATTGTGAAAAATGGGAAAACGAGTTAATTTATTAGTAATAAAAACGGTTTTCTGGGTAGATGGAATCATCCAAAAACATGGGGTCCGTGGGGAAATAAATAATAATAAAAGGGGTCCTTGGTGGTGAAAAGGTTGGGAACCACTGCTCTATTGACTCTACCCTAATTACTCGCCCCCCCTCAAGAGATCATTTGCACCCCTCCACTGGGGGAACGCCCTACATTTTGAGAAACACTGCCTTATGTTATGTGAGTTTAGTTAAATATTATTAGTTTCTTTGTCATTACATAATGTTTTGAGTAGGTGCTAACTGTATATAAGAAGGTTCTTTGGTTTACTTATTGTAAAAAACAGGCTATCCTCAGCTGTAAAGCCCCCCAGTGACTCAACGGTATGTCTGAGGACTTCCAACATTAGAAACCAGGTTTTGATACTCATGGTGGGCAGAGCACAGATAGCCCTTTATGTAGCTTTGTGCTTAACTACGACAAACAAATCAGCTGTAAAAATTTCCGTAACTATTGTTAATACGCAAGTGGAATTCCAAATAGTTTCTGGCATGGGGTTTTTATTTAACGTAAAAGGAACAATATACTTTTAATGTTGTATCTTTAATTTATCAGTTTTTGAAATATGAAGGTTTTCAGAGCATTTTCACAGGAAGATGTCTGTGACTGATAAGGGCATGAATTTCCATTTCTACTTGGATATTTTAGAGTAACTGTGGGAAAGTTTTGAATTGACTTAACAAGTATGGTCTTAACAAGATGTCTGTGACTGATATGGCATGAATTTCCATTTCTACTTGGATATTTTAGAGTAACTGTGGGAAAATTTTGAGTTGACTTAACAAGTATGGTCCGCCGCACCCTAGCCATTTTACACCTAGGGGCCCATTCTTTTTTTATGCACCTTTCTCATTGTGGGATTGAGTTACTGTATATTTCTATGGTTAGGATCACTTTTCTGCCACATTCTATCCCACTCATATGTGCTTCTCTCATTTTCCACCCTTATATCTTACACATTTCACAATTGGGTGAAGAGTATACCTAGCTCAGAAGTGGTGCAGGTCCCCTCTTCTGGTCTTCGGATCTGAATCTCTCATTTCCCGGGGTATCCTTCAGACTCTTTTGGGGGGGTACTTCTGTCGTTCCCTCGCACAGGTCCCTCCTCTTTATCAATGTGGAAATATTGTAAGAGGAGGGAAGTACCGTATCAGAAGTTATAATTTTCCTATACTGAAAATGTATTTCTGGTAGATACTTACCTCCTATCACACTTTCCATCCTTCGAAGTGATAGTTCGGTAGAGGAGTGTAGAGGGAGTCACGTGAGCATGTCATACTTCTATTGGTGAGGATGTGATGCATGATGATTTGCATGAGAGATGAAACATGTTGGAATCTTGCAATTCCAATAGGGGAAGCGAAAGACTTGTGGTATGTGTAAAGAAAAGGCTGGAATATAGAGGGCAGCACTGAACAAGAATAGCTAATCTTGTGAGAAGAGGAAAGTACCTATTAGAAATACATTTTCAGTATAGGAAAATTATATTTTTTAACTATCACAGTAAAAACCCTACTTTCACATAATGATTAACCTACTAGTATACGTTGCATCAATAGCTGTGGAATGACTTAGCATTATAAAGTGTTTTAAAAGGTAATAAAAAGCAAGTGTAAGATAATGCATAAGCCATTTGCTCCATTTTTAGCACTCCAAGTTATTTAAATATTTATTATATTTACCATAACCAAATATTTCTTCCTTGTAATAAATGCCTCAGAACTGATTTCTTATCTGCAGATCTGTTAACTCAACTGAACTAATCACTCATATCTATATAAAACATCTACAAATATCAAAGCAATAAGATTGTCCTTGCACTATTTATGTAGTTGGTATAATATATATAGAGAGACATCTCAAAAGTAAACAGACACCATTGATGTTTAATCAATAGTCATATAATGAATGAAAGGCATCCAATGGCTCCCATGGT